GATGGTTGCACGGGATACTTACAACCGGTTTGGATGACAGTCCAATAATAGGATAGACGTTTAGTCTCCTAGTCTTTCTGGCGCCGGTTGTGATGTTCATTTTTGGCCGCTTGTGGCTTTTCCTGGCTTAGTACGACCTTTGTTTATTTTTAAGACCTCCATTTGGAACATTTGAGATACTTTTTAATAAATGGCTGTGTGTATTAAGAGATGCAGAGGCTGGGGGTATACCTCCTTTTCGAAAAAAACAACTTTTGGTAAATATTTTGGAATTTGTCAAGTGGACTCATCATGGGTAAAATGGGGGTCGAGAGATGCTCTAAATTTCGTCTCCTTTAGTCTTATTTCACGATAATTCTGCACCAATGAAATATACAATGTCGATCGACTTTTTATTTCCATCCAACTAATTTTGTCCCTAGAAATAGGTTGCTGCGTCGGAAAAAGTTTGTGGAATAATATGTTTTTCATAGAAGAATACTCTGTTGGTAAAAGCGACCGTGACACACTTTGTACCATTCCTACATTGTCCGTGCATGAAGTAGAAATACACTAGCGCAGAAAAGGAAACACGCAAACACCATGCCCACGTCCCAAATATATCGAGCTGGTGCCACACCACTGACCCAGCCCGCCAATCCACCGATCCGAGGTCACCGCCACGTCATCGATCCCTGGCATCTATCCCCCAGACCGCGATCTTAACCGCACACTCCATCTACATCGAATGGTAGGAAAGCATCTGCTCCCACTTCTTGTCCCCCTTTTAATAACCTCCCCCTTTCGGCAAAACACAACACCAATCACCACCGCTCCTCGACCTTCATTCGCTCCCAGCTCAAACCAAGGAGAGATTGTCAACCATGTCTGGGCTGGCAAGGGCGGCCCCAAGCGCCAATGAAAGGTGCTATTTGACAAGATCCAGGGCATCACTAAGCCGACGATCCAGAGGATTGCTGAGAGGGGTGGCCTGAAGCATATCTCCGTCCTCATCTACTTGGAGAACCACGGCGTGCTCAAGATCTTCCTCGAGAAAGTCATATGGACGCCATCAACTACATTGATCACCCCGCCGCAAGACCGTCACCGCAGTGGAAGTCGTCTACACCCTTAAGCTCCAGGGCCACACCCTCTACGGCTTCGGCGACTAGGATTCCGATGTGTATGTGCCTTGCCGCGCCATTCCTCTGTTGGTCGTTTATTCGGCAGTAGGTTCTTTTTCACCTATTCTGTCGTAGTTTCATGTGAGTCGGTTGTTGTTTCCCATGTTTCCATGCCCCCTTTCTCCCAGGATTTGGCCAGAAGTAGTCGTGCTAGATCCAAAGGAGACTAACATACAGGGAATTGTTGTTGAGCATTGGCTGTCTCACAGCGACAGAAGAAAGATGCCTATCGGTCTATACTTAACAGTAATGAAGCTAGAACAACCATCCATTTCCATGAGAAAATTGCCAAGAGTATACCAACAAGCAAAGAATGTGGAATGTTATTATAAGAATAAATTACATCAATCGAAGTAATCTGCAGATGTAAGATTATGCTCACCAGAAAGTACAAAATACAAATAAAGTGCAAAAGGAGAAGAATTGTGATAATTTTTCCATGTGATAAAACTAACCACAAAAATCAATGGAAACATGAACAATACTCTGAAACATTGGTGATGAATTAGAATATCGTGTACACTAGTGACCCATTGTGTAGGCTACACATTATATATGTTTTGCACACTTCCTCATCTGTAATATCTGATTTGTGTGTATTTAATCACCATTTGTTTGCATTTTTCTGGAAAAGAATGAATCCCACACAAATTTTGGTAAAAAAATTGGAATTTTTCAAGTGGTTTCATCATGGGCAAACAAATGGGGGTTGAGAGATGCTCTAAGTTTCATCTCCTTTAGTCTTGATTTCATGATAATTTTTATTTCCATCCAACTTATTTTGTCCCTAGAAATAGGTTATTGACTCAGAAAAAAAAGTTTGAGGAATAATCTGTTTTTCAAAGAAGTATACTCTTTTGGTAAAAGTGACCTGACACACTTGTACCATTCCTACATTGTCCGTGCATGAAGGAGCAATATACAAGGGCAGAAAAGGAAACACACAAACACCATGCCCATGACCAAAAAATATCGAGCTGATGCCACACCTCTGACCCAGCCTGCTAATCCACCAGTCCGAGGTCGCCGCACGTCATCGATCTATGGCATCTCTCCCTCGGATTGTGATCTTAACAGCACAGTCCATGTGCATTGAATGGTACGAAAGCGGCTCCTCCCACTTCTTGTCCCACTTGCAATCACCTTCCCCCTTTCGGCAAAACACAACACCAATCACCACCGCTCCTCGACCTCCATTCGCTTATAGCTCAAACAAGGGAGGGATTGTCACCATATCTGGGCGTGGCAAGGGAGGCAAGGGGATTGGCAAGGGCGGTATAAAGCGCCACTAGAAGGTGCCGCGCGACAACACCCAGGGCATCACTCGGCGATCTAGAGGTTCGCTCAGAGCGGCGGCTTGAAGCATATATATATCTACGTTCTCATCTACTTGGAGAACCACGGCGTGCTCACGATCTTCCTCGAGAAAGTCAGACGCGAAACCATCACCTACACCGATCATGCCCGCTCCAAGACCGACACCGCCATGGAAGTCCTCTACACCCTTAAGCATCGGGGCCGCACCCTCTACGACTTCGCTGACTAGGGTTCTTATGTGTTTGTGCGCCTGTGCACATCACTCTGGTTGTTGAGAAACCTTAGATGAAACTAGAAGCACACATGCGCCTTGGCGCGCCATTCCTCTGTTGGCCGTTTATTCGGCAGTAGGTTCTTCACCTATTCTGTCGTAGTTTTATGTGAGCTGGTTGTTGTTTCCCCTGTTTCCATGCCCCTTTATCCTGAGATTTTGGCAGAAGTAGTCATGCTGGATCTAAAGGAGACTAACATAAATGGGAATTGCGGTTGAGCATTGGCTGTCTCATGGCGTCAGAAGAAATATGCCTATTGGTCGATGCTTAATAGCAATGAAGCTTGAACAACTATCCATTTCTGTGAGAAAATTTCAAGGAGTATACCAATAAGCAAAGAAATTGGAATGTTATTATCAGAATAAATTACATCAATTCAAGTTATGTGTAGAGGTAAGATTATGCCCACCAGAAAGTACAAAATACGAATAAAGTGCAAAAGGAGAAGAGCTGTGATCATTTTTCCGTGTGATAAAACTAACCACAAAAAGCAATGGAAACACGAACAATACTCTAAAACATTGGTGAGCAATTCGAGTGTCGTGTACACTAGTGATCCATTGTGTAGGCTACACATTATAGATGTTTTGATCACTTACTCATATGTAATATCTGATTTGGCTGTATTTAATCACCATTGGTTTGCATTTTTCATGGAAAAAATGAATTCATCAGAAATTTTGATAAAAAATTGGAATTTGTCAAGTGGTCTCATCATTGGCAAACAAATGGGGTTGAGTTATACTCTAAGTTTCATCTCCTTTAGTTTTGATTTCAAGATAATTCTGCACCAAATGAAATATACAATGTCGGCGACTTTTTATTTCCATCCAACTTATTATGTCCCTAGAAATAGGTTGCTGCGTCGGAATTTTTTTTGTTGAATAATCTATTTTTCATAGAAGTATACTCCTTTGGTAAAAGCAACCGTGACACACTTGTACCATTCCTACATTATTCGGGCATGAAGGAGCAATACACAAGCGCAGAAAAGAAGACACACAAACACCGTGCCTGCAAGCAAAATATATCGAGCTGGAGCTACACCTCTGACCCAGCCCGCCAATCCACCGGTCCGAGGTCGTCGCCATGTCGTCGATCTGTGGCATCTCTCCCTTGGATCATGATCTTAACATCACACTCCATCCGCATCCAATGGTAGAAGCACGCTTCCTCCCGCCTCTTGACCTACTTACAATCACCTTCCACTCTCTGGAGAACGCAAAACCAATCACCACCGCTCCTCGACCTCCATTCGGTCGCAGCTCAAATGAAGGAGAGATTGTCAGCCATGTCTGAGCGCGGCAACGGAGGCACGGGGCTTGGCAAGGGAGGCGCCAAGCACCATTGGAAGGTGCTGCGCGACAACTTCACGTGCATCACTCGGCGATCCAAAGGTTTGCTTGGAGCGTCGGCCTGAAGCATATCTCCATCCTCATCTACTTGGAGAACCTCAGCATGCTAATTCAATAATTTGAAAAATATTCATAATTTCAAATATGTTCACGAGTTCTAAAAAATGTTCATGATTTCAAAAATTGTTCATGATCTCACGAAATTAAGAGTGGCCACTATGTGGTCATGACCATTGGAGATTATGATTTTTTTTCCGTTGCAACGCACGGCCCTTTTTGCTTGTAAAATAATTAAATATGTCCGGGAACTACTACAAATATTAGTCCGTATTAACAAGTAAAACATTTTTGTGTACTTTTAAATTGTTCATAATTTTCAAAAGGATAATTTACTTCAAAATTCATGCAATCGCCATGTTTCGCCGAAAACCCAATTCCCGTACGTCACATGCACGCGCATCTCCTAACACGGGCGGTGTTAGAGCTCTTCATGACTTGGTGGTCACCAATTGGTAACGAAAATCCACCTTCATTCCTCATTTAATTTCTTGGCATGTACTCCCTCCGTTCACAAATATAAGATGCATTGTATATTTTAATATAGATTACATATGGACTGAAATGAAATAAGTGCACCAACACAATAGAGCGTGTCTATACACATCTGATTCAAAGAATTAAAACATCTTTATATTTATGAACGGACCCTGCCTCTGCATCAGGCGATGCACACAACCACTCATTAAACAGAGAAAAAGTGTCAAAGTACAAAAAAGTACATCATGGTAATGCAGAATATATCAAAACCCAGAAGCCTGTGCTCATAGACACGATGGAAATCCACCAATGAAGAAGAAACAAAATAAAAATTAGGCGAGGTACTCCGTACGCTGTTACCAAGTCTTGGTTAAGAAAAGGTCCTGCATGACGCCGATCGCTCTCATGACACCCACAAACTTGTCGCGCGTGGCCCGTTCGTCCTCGGTCCTCTCGGGGATTGGCTTCGGGCAGTCGTCCCCGCATGTCGGCTTGAACTCCGAGCTGAAGGACAGCACCCCCGCCTCGTCGCCAGGCTTAACCGCCTCCACTGGGATCCCCTCAAATGCCTTGGCCACCCTATGAAGGTCTTCGATGCAGTTTGCGAGGCATTTGGCGGGGTGCGGGTCCGTGGTGAGCCTGGCATTGGCGAAGCCGTTGGCCATCTTGGCGAGCTTTGCCGCGACTTGCAGGGACATTAGGGGGACACTGTTCACCTCCGGTGAGCCGGCGGCCATGTTGGCGAGCAGGACGTGTTTGCAAGAGTCTGGCTGTATTGTCTTGGCGCATGTAGCTTGGATGGCCTCGATGGTGGGGGCCGACTGAACAGCCGGGGCGATGGCGAGGCCGAAAGCACCGAGCAGTGCCAGGGCTAGTGCCGGAGCCGGCATGGAAGGCATTGCGATGGGCATGGTGTGAGATGTTTGATGAGCGAGCTAGTCAGGTCTCGGGTGCTTCCTTATATAACCTGCATGCGTGTGTGCATGAGTCTAGTCTTTATTTATTTTTAGTAGAGAAGCAGGGAACTAGAGAGAGAGAGAGAGAGAGAGAGAGAGAGCTAATTAACTGGTGGTCACGAATCAACTTGGTCTTCCTATCCACACATGTTTCACTGGTTTGCCCTGGGTTCCGCCGTACCTCTAGTATTTTTCAGGGGATGGACAATCACAAGGGGCAAAGAAACACATATTTACTCTTGTAGTCATGTCATGTGTGTGCCGACCGTATGAAAATTTTCTGAAACGATCAAACTCAGCGTGCAGTCGCCAGATATCAATTTTTTTTTGAAACAGAGACAAAATATTTGCCTAATCAGTTAATTAAGCATAAAAAATTGCCCAGTTAATCAATAAAAAATCATGGAAAAACCGACACAAACCCATCACATGTGAACTACCCATAAAACATGCAACTCCATAAACGCATGATCAGTCCAACAATCAAACCCAACACGCAATGACCACCAACCCTCACATCAGTGGCGGAGCTACAACAGCAAACCTGGGTGGGCCATTACAAAGAAAGCTAACTATTTTTGCTAGCATGGCCCAATTTACCCATCAATCTTCATTAAACTTGCTAGAGGATGTGCAGACTATAGCCTACTTTGCTAACACATAGATCCGCCAGTGCTCCACACTGCTAGTACATCGCAAAGAAAACATGCAAGAAGATGCGGCACGATCAGCCATATATCAAATTTGTTGGGCAAGCTCCCAGTGTGATGTACGTTGGGAAAACATGCAAGAGGATGCGGCCAAATGGACTGGTAAACCATCCCGTGCCCGTGGCCTACACTTTTTAAACCTGCGGTCTCTTTCGACTTGTCTAACTAAAGCTGGTCCAGTCACGAGCCTTAGCCCTAACCATAGCCACAAGTACATCTCATCCATTTAAGGCCTCTGGCTGCACCAATGGCATCCAAGCTGCAGATTTCTTTTCACCACCGTCTCTCTTGTCAGCTGTCAGCAAACACCAATCAATTAATTTCTCTATATTCTTGTTCCCTCAAGGCTCAAGCTCTTTAAATAGCTCCCTACAATCTCCTCTTAAACCATCTCCACACACTCAGGCCACACTATTGGAGAACACACAGGGACAACACACCATAAGTGCAGCGCAATGGCGGCCACCACCATGTCTCTTTCCTCTTGGTCCTTCGCCGGCAAGGCCGTCAAGAACTTGCCCTCGTCGGCTTTCATTGGTGAGGCACGTGTGAACATGCGCAAGACCGCCGCGAAAGCCAAACAAGTTTCATCTAGAAGCCCGTGGTACGGCTCTGACCGTGTGCTCTACCTCGGCCCGCTTTCCGGCGAGCCCCCCAACTACTTGACTGGTGAGTTCCCCGGTGACTATGGGTGGGACACTGCCGGTCTCTCGGCTGACCCTGAGACCTTCGCCAAGAACCGGGAGCTTGAGGTGATCCACTGCCGATGGGCCATGCTCGGTGCGCTTGGTTGTGTCTTTCCTGAGTTGCTTGCCCGCAATGGTGTGAAGTTTGGCGAGGCCGTCTGGTTCAAGGCTGGCTCTCAGATCTTCAGCGAGGGTGGCCTCGACTACCTTGGCAACCCCAGCCTCGTCCACGCTCAGAGCATCCTCGCCATCTGGGCTTGTCAAGTTGTGCTCATGGGTGCCGTTGAGGGGTACCGCATTGCTGGTGGTCCGCTCGGCGAGATAGTCGACCCACTCTACCCTGGTGGCAGCTTTGACCCGCTTGGCCTGGCCGACGACCCCGAGGCATTTGCGGAGCTCAAGGTTAAGGAGATCAAGAATGGCCGCCTCGCCATGTTCTCCATGTTTGGCTTCTTTGTGCAGGCCATTGTCACCGGCAAGGGCCCATTGGAGAACCTTGCCGACCACATTGCTGACCCTGTCAACAACAACGCGTGGGCATTCGCCACCAACTTCGCGCCGGGGAAGTAAGACATGAATGATGGTTGGGAGTTGTATGTGAGTGTCAGTTGAATTGTAACACCAACATGTAAAATATGAGAATTGTGTGCAAAGACATTGTTTGATTGGTCCACTCCGGAAGTGCCCCTGCTCCCCGTCTTGTTTTCATAAATCACTAAGCACTCATTGGTAGTTATTCCTAACAGAATATCCATAACTTGTGATGACACATACAATTAGCGTTGGGGAGCCCCTCTACTTGCCTGCTTGCTGACATTGTCGAGTGTCAAGTGGATTGTTTGTGGTGATGTGATTGCTCTTCTCCTCTGGTGGTGTCTTCTTCGGGTGTGGTTCCATGCTGCCGGAGTTTTCCTTCTGCGATTACGGTGGTTGGTGAGCACAGTGAAGCGATCTGGGTGTAGACACGGCTCCTTGTCGTCCTTCGGCTTCGCCAGCGGTGCCGCTATTGTGTTGTAGACTCGGATGTGTGTGACTCTTTATCCAGATGTGGACTTGGTCGCTCATTGCTCTTCGGCTACACCAATAGCCTTGAGGCATCATAGATGGTCTCGTTTTTTTTTTTTGCACCGGTGGATGGTCTCGGTTGAGTTGGACCTCTTTGTCTGCAGTGGTGGTGTTCTCATGCAGCCTTCCGTTCGCGAGGAAGATGGAAGATGAGGGCATTCCGGTCCTTTTCTTTTCTTTTTCCCTTCTATTGTGTCAGGTGTAATCTATTTCCTCTCATCGCTGTACTCCTCTGTGATTTCCCGGCTTTGCCGGTGCCTTCTTAATGAATGAAAAGTAGCGCTGGTACGTTTCATAAAAAAAAACAATTAGCTATATGGATCCAATTCACCTGCAAAAAAAAGAAGTTATACGGATCCAATTAGCCCAGTTTAAACCTCTAATTTTGCGTCTAACGATCATTCAACACGCTCTCTGTCAGCCTCAGAATCAACCCCAAGCTTTCCATTCTAATCCTCATACACCCTTTCATTTCTGCTTGGCCCAACTCTTCTCATACATCCTTCTGAAAAAAATAAAAAAAATCTCCCATACATTGACTAAAAAGTTACTTTATCTATAGCTTCCAATTTGTTTGATTTGATTTCCTCGGCTATGATTCTCTCTCGTATTATTTCATACCGGTAACTGTAGGCAGGGAAGAAATCCAAAGAGTCCCATTTTTTTTCTCAAATATTGATAACATTGATTTGGCACATCAACTTGAACCACAAACCTTCAAATCCAAAATTATATCATGAATGGGAGGAATGCTTGTTAGTTGGACTATATGGAATGAGATGAACGCGAGGATTTTCTGCAACAAGTTCAAGCCACCCAACCTCCTATTTATCAACATAAAGAGCGAGGCTCAACTTTGGGTCACCGCCGGGGCAAAAAATGTGGGTCTTTTGATGCCGGGAGAGTAATGATCATGATGTAATATTTTTTAATTTCTTTACAATGTGCTGCAAACTCTTGTCCGTTTTCTTCTTAATTAATGGATGAGGCAAAGCTTTTGCCTCCGTTTAAAAAAAATTATATCATGAATGCTGACTGAACTGGACCTCTGGCTACTGTTCATATAAAATTCACCATTTTCATTCCTCGTACATAGATCTGGAAAAAAGTTTATATTTTGTGATAGTTGCAATGTGGTACGATTTCCCTGACGATTCTAATATGTGTTCAGTTCGTGGAGTGATGCAGTCTGAAAGGCCACCTCAATATTTTCCATGTAGCCAGAGTAGCGGACACCAATCAGTTTTCTACTGTGAATTATAGAGGTGCACAGCAACATATTCCGAGCTAACACAGGTAAGAACAAAAGGCTTAGGCCAAGAACAGAGGAATAACTTTTACAGGATACTAAGCACATATGCCGTACGTTGCAATGGGAGAGAGATTTTATGTGTCCATATAAACGTTCATCAACGCGGCACGCCAGAATCCGAAAGGTGCCACCCAACGGCGACATAGAAACGCACGCCAAGGTCAAAATGTATATCAGCAAAAACTACACAATTAATGATTTTGCTTTTCTCTTAATTATTTAGATTATCAGGTAAATGACGACCTCAGAAGCGCCTTCGCTTTCTTGATTGTCTGTGTTTTTGACACTGATTGTTTTATTACGTATTCATATGAACCGAATTAATAGCACCTAGAGAGAATTTATTTTGTATTAACTTTAATGGACGTGCAAGCATATATGTTTTCATCGTGTGTGTCCTAATCTATGTATATATGTTAGTCTAGCATTGTCTAATTCTTAGGGCATCTCCAACGCTAACCTGTATATACGTGCGGCAAATGTCCGTTTTCCTATCCAGACAGAGATCCGGACACAGATACGGAAGCATGTAATCCAACGCTAGTCGCAAACGTAAGCTCTGTTTCTCATACATTTAATCAAACACCTGTTGTGCAGCGTGCGGCGGAGGCCGGCAAGCTCGGGCCCAGTCACACACGCGCGGCCATGGAGGCAAGCGAGCTCGGGCGCACGACCACGACGACAAGGGTGGCAGGTGCGGCCACGATGTAGGCAGGCGAGCTCGGGCGCATGACCATGACGGCAGGGGCGTTGGGCGTGGCCGCAACGGAGGCAGGCGAGCTTGGGAAGCGGCGACACACGTGCGGCCATGAACAGGGGCATCGGGCGCGGCCACGAGCCCGCCGCGACGACAGGCACATCCTCATGGGCGCGCGGGCACGGGCACCCGGCCACGGGCGACGACCGGGGCGGCTCGCGAGCTCGGGCACACGGCCATGGGCGACGCGACGGCCACCGGCGACGACCGGCGCGACTCGTGAGCTGGGGCGCGCGGTCATGGGGACGTGGATACGTGGTGATTTGTCGTTGGTCAGCGGATGTACAAAGCTCCCCTATTTTTGTTTCAAAAATACCAGAATTCGTACATTCGGAACGCTCCGCGGATGGTCCCCGTTGGATGGCAAAACTGGTCCGGACACCACGGCCCGGGCTTATACGGGAGAAACGCGGGTCCGTTTTGGA